GTGAGTTCAATACGGCAGTGGTGAACCAAAACTTGGGTTGTTGAGCTAAAGGGAGATAACCCACACACCCGGAAAAGGCATGGCAAGTGGAACTAGAACAGTCTACCGCCGTGGACGAAATAAAGCGTTCAGTTCGAAATTCCAATTACCTGAAGAAGGCCGGAGCGTACAACGGCCGAAACGTCGTGAATATGACAAAGATGAACAACAGCATGAAAAATGTAAATAATTAAATTTTAAATTACATTAAAAATGTATCGTTCTTTTTTTTTATACTCTTTAAAAATAATTGAACTATTAAAATTTATCGTAATAGCGCTTATGTTCTAAAAAAAAGATGTTGAAGATAATGTTTTTGTATTACATCAAAACAACAAAATTCGTTATCTGTCTGTATTTCTGAGATGTGGTATGATGTACATTATTTGGACTATTGTCCTCATCTCCGTCGCTATATTTATTACAACGTTTCGGCTGTTGTACGCTCCAGCCTTCTTCAGGTGGAACTGAACCCTTTATTTCGCTCGCTGGGTGTAGACTGTTCTAGTTCCACGTGCCATGTTTAATGGATGTCAGTTATAAACCTAATATCTTCAGCAACTCAGAAATTCATACACCGATGTCCTCAAGGACACATGGCACGGTGGATAAAGGCGTTAGTTAGATCCAGTAACAGGACCCAAAGAGTGTGAGTTTTAATACCTGGTTAAGGCAGTGGAGAACTTGGAGGGGGAATTTAATTGAATTATTATATTTGGTTGCAAAAATAATGACGTAATAATGTCGTTTTTTGACGTTAAAAAATACGTCAAAAACGACATTATTACGTCATTATTTTTGCACCAACCTAATAATAACTGAGGAAATCGTCCAACATTCGCTGCCGTAAAAAAGGATAGATGTCACGTAAGAGCTCAGTATTCTTTACTTTCGTTACCAAAGAAATCCTCCTGTCTTGCAATACTCTGCTCAGCTTTTGGAATGCGCCCTTGGTCAGGCCAATACGTCTACGGATCTCAGTGTCGCACTCACCGTCCTCTGTCAGAACGCTTCCCAAATATTTAAACTTCCGCGCCTGCTTGATCCTAGTGTCCCTGACCTGCAAATCGCATTTCGGGTTCATCCTTTTACTGATGACCATGCATTCTGTTTTCTTGTAGTTTATGCTTAGTCCCTTCTTCATACTCTCCGTTGCTACCTTCTGTAGGAGATTTTGTAATTTCTTTTCCGTGTCTGCTATCCGTACTGTGTCATCTGCGTATCTTGTGTTGGTAAGATTGTGGCCGCCAATGCTAAATCCCGGTCTCGTTGTATACTCTTCTATATAGATAATGTTAAAAACACTAGTTCCAGTATAATTGTATTGCTCCGCGTTGATGCTAAAAAAAACAAGGTTTTAACCAAGTTTTCTACGGTTCTAAAAAAGATAAAAAAAACGTTTTTACATAAAAAAAGAAACCCTTCGATCTTTCATAGAATTTTGTTTTTATTACGTTTTGTGCATTTTTCCATCATTTACCATTTTCTTGTTAGCGAATCTCTGGAGATACCTACTCTAAACTTGAAGAAACATTTTAGATGCCAAAATCATGATAAAAATATTATCTACGCGTGGGAATTTACAAAACTGCTGCATCTGAACATAATGTGCGTTGATTAATTGCAATAGCAAAGACACACGATTTGGATTTTTGCCCATTTTGTAGACATGATATAGGGATGTTAACTTATATTCGAATCGACTTGTACATGAGTATATAGGATATACGTAAGGGGAGGAAACTAAAAGCAACAAACGAGGAAGTTACAAGGACGCTTAAAATTTAAATCTGAAGATAATCGTTCCTTTTATATTAAGCGTTTCCCGACATAGAATTCTAACTGATGTTTTTGTATTTTGTTACCACCAACTCCATGGATATGATTTCATTTATTAAAAAAAAAACAGTCTGAAGAAGTCCTTTCGAAAGACGAAACTCTTAGCGAAGGATTTTTTCCTAATTTTCTATTTAATTACCCAAATATATATATATATATATGTGTGTGTGTGTGTGTGTATTCTATAATTCCCCATGTATAACACGCATTTTTTCTAAAAAAAAAAATATAAATAAGCAATATTATAGGTGCGTATTATGCACAGCTACAAAATTATCTTTAAAAAAAATTGCTGTTTCATAGGTGGATTTCAGTTGCGAAATGACTACTCACCACAAACATACGACAATTTGACACTAACATTCGGCAACTGCGACCCCATAAGCATGTCAAATACAATCATATGTACCTAACAATACGCACAGATGTAAAATAAAATAAGAATTATCATAAAACTAAATTAAAATTTGTGTTTAAAACCATTCTCTTTAATAAAAGTAGGAACCGCTGGCCGTAATGAAATTGGAAAGGTACAATTTATAGGGTTTAATTACCAAACAAGGGGTGCGTATTATGCGTGAGTAGAAGCATTTTCCCACACTTTCAGCACAATTTTAGGGGTGCGTATTATGGATGAAGGTGTATTATACATGGGGAATTATTGTGTGTGTGTGTATATATATAATGTATACACACATACACACACACACACACACACAAAACTCTTACGTCGTTTTTCGACGGATGAGAATCAAGGAGGTCAGTTCTTAGAACCAACATCCAGACTCTCCGCACATAGGATTTGATTCTAGTGGCGAATGCTTGAGCAGAACCAACCACATTTTTGGGAAATTTTAAATACAGTTTTTTGCACAATATGCCAAAATGACCCTTTTAAGAAAAAATTCAGAGTCGTTCTTTCTCCTAGAAATGATTAACCCAATGCTGTTACTTTAGGACCCAGTCTATCCTACTATTTTACCCATAGCTGAAGGAGAAAGATGATTGATTTCTCCATTTCCTGAGGGAATTAGTACATAAGAAGATGTGTAAAAAAATCTATCTTGAAAAAAATCCTCTTTGATCTTAAACACCACCAGTTTTAATATATATATATATATATATATATATATATATATTATATATATATATATATATTTATATATATTTATAATTTTTCAATTTATGACATAAATATGTTAAAATAAAAATCAAAACAAAAATAGCCATTTGTTTAACACTTCTGATGTCTTATCAATTTTGGTGTTGAATGACATTCAACAAAATGTTTAAATTATATTTCTCTACTCTGTATTGAGTTTTCTTTTAAGAATAGTATTTTTTGATTATTTGAATTTATTTCGTATACACCAATTATATACTTGGACACACAAACACACACAAACAACATACATAATTTATATATATTTATATATATATATATATATATATATATATATATATATATATTTTTATATATTATAATTATTTATATATTTTCTAATTATGTGTTTGACAAAAGGCATTTTTTAAAAAAAAAAAAAACGATAGACGTTTATGTCGATAATTTTTATAATCGTCTTTTCCAAATTACGAATAATCCTTTTCCGACAATGAGGGAATTCCATCAGAAATTGTCTGAAGTTTATTTCAATTGAAGAAACTTTATTATTTTTTTTGTTTTTTCCATCATTAAATCATGTTGGGGTCGGACGAAACAATGATGAGTTTCGTATAAATTCATTGTTTGACGTAGATAAAAAGTGTTTGACGTAAAATGGTGTGATTTGTGTTTATATAAATATATACATTTTATTTTTTCTGTTGTTAAGTCATAATTTTTTTTTATTTATTGATGGTTGTTTTTGTTACGTATGTATGTATAATTTGAAATGCAAAGTAAGGTCTTTATCTCAAATCTTTATTTTTTTTCCTCTTTCAGATAATATCAATTGAATTTTATTAATCTCATCTGTCTGGCAAAGATATGAATCTCATCTATATCCCACTAAGTAAAAAGTTTCTTTAAAAAGAAAAAAAGCAGGTCACACACATTTAAACAATTATCTCCACATCTAAACAAGTCGTACAACTCAAATTCTTTCTCCAGAGCCGTATTTTTTTTTTTATCATTTCACCCCAAGCAAGGCAATAAAGCCACTAGGATGTAAGAGGTTACTCAGTGTTAGAGAATATGAAAAAATCTGATATATTAAGGAGAGAGGCCAATAAAAGAACAAGAATTAAAACAACAGAAAATAACGATTAACGTTTTATTTGAATTTTTGAACATCAAAGGCGATAAAGCCACTAGGACACAAGGGGGTGATGAGTGTTAGAAATACTACTATTAAGGAGAAAAGACAAATAAAGAACAAGACAGAAGGTAACGATTGACATTGCATTTAAATTTTAGAAGATACGCGTCTGTTATTTTGTTAGTGAGAATTTTATTTTAGTGTGAGGGGGGGGTTACATTTATAATTTTGGATTTGTCAGCTCTAATTAGGAGTTTTTAATAGTTTTTATGTCCCTGTTTAATTTTTTTAAAATTTCTTGGAGTTTTTTTGATTTGAATTTGTTTTAAACAAAGACAATAATTTTATGTAATGAGGGACAAGATTGAATTGAGGTTTTTTCTTCTTCTTTTTTTCCTTTATTTATTTTTTTCTTCTTCTTTTCTTCTTCTTCTTTTCTTCTTCTTTTTTGATTTCTTATTTTTTTTTTCTTCTTTTTTTTTTTTATAATTTAAAAATGGAATTTCTTCTTCTTTTTTCTTAAAAATTTTTATTCTTGTTCTTTTTAATTGTTGATTTCTTCTTCTTCTTTTCTTTTCTTCTTCTTGTTTATTTTCAAAAATTTTCTTCTTCTTCTTTTTTCAAAATTCTTTTTTTTTCTTCTTATTTTTTCTTCTTTTTTTTCTTCTTTTTTCTTCTTTTTCTTAAAAAGAATTTTTTTTTTTTCTACTTTTTCTTCTTCTTTTTTCTTTTTTTTCTTTTCTTCTTAAAATTTTTTCTTTTTCTTCTTTGTTTTTTCTTCTTCTTTTTTTTTATTCTTTTTATTCTTCTTCTTTTTTTTTCTTATTTATTGTTTTTCTTCTTCTTTTTTCTTCTTTTCTTGAGGTTCTTTTCTTTTTCTTCTTCTTTGAAAGAAAATTTTTTCTTCTTTTTTATTTTCTTCTTCTTCTTTTCTTCTTCTTTTTCTTCTTCTTTTTTTCCTATCTTCTTCTTCTTCTTGTTTTCTTTCTTCTTCTTAAATTCTTTTCTTCTTTCTTCTTCTTCTTTTTCTGTTTCTTTTTTCTTTTTTTTTTTTTCTTCTTTTTTCTTCTTCTTCTTTTTCTTCTTCTTTTTTTTAATTTCTTCTTTTCTTTTCTTCTTTCTTCTTTCTTTTCTTCTTTTCTTCTTCTTTTCTTTCTTCTTCTTCTTCTTCTTTTCTTTTCTTTTATCTTCTTCTTCTTCTTTTTCTTTTTTTCTTTTTTTCTTCTTCTTCAAATTTTCTTCTTGATTTTCTTCTTCTTTTTTTCTTCTTCTTTTTTCTTTTTTCTTCTTCTTCTTTTTTCTTCTTTTTTCTTTCTTCTTCTTTTTTTTTTTTTTCTTCTTCTTTTCTTAATTTTTTTTTTGAAAATTTTTTTTCTTTTTCTTCTTTGTGTTTGATTGTTTTTTTTTTTTTTTCTTCTGGTTTTTTTCTTTTTTATTCTTCTGTTTTTTCTTTCTTCAAAATTTTCTTTTCTTCTTTTCTTCTTTTTTCTTCTTTTTTTTTCTTCTTCTTCTTTTTCTTCTTTTTTTCTTCTTTTTAAAAGAAAAATTTTCTTCTTTCTTCTTTTTTTGATTTTTTATTTTCTTCTTTTTTCTTTTTCTTCTTTTTCTTCTTTTTTTTTTTTTTCTTCTTCTTCTTTTTTCTTCAATTCTTTTTTTCTTCTTCTTCTGAAATTTTTCTTTCTTGAAGGTTGACTTCTTTATTTCATAATTTTCTATTTCTTTTTTTCTTTTTTGTTTCTTCTTCTTTCTTTTTCTTCTTCTTTTTCTTTCAATTTCTTTCTTCTTCTCGTTTCTTTTTTTTTTTTTTTTTTTTTCTTTTTCTTTTTTTCAGATTTCTTCTTCTTGATTCTTTTTCTTCCATTCTTTTTCTTTTTTTAGAAAATTTTCTAATTTTTCTTTTTCTTTTTCTAAAATTTCAAAATTTAATTTTTTCTTTTAAAAATTCTTCTTCTTCTTTTTGCGTTTTCTTCTTCTTTTCTTAAATTCTTCTTGTTTATTCTTCAAATTTGTTTAAGAATTCTTTCTTCTTCTTCTCTCTTCTTCTTCTTCTTTTTCTTGTTATAATAATTCTTTTTTTTTTCATTATTGGGTTTCTTCTAGAAAAAATAATTATTTTTCTTCTTGTTTTTCTTGTTTTTCTTTTTTTTTTCAAATTTTCTTCTTTTTTCTTTTCTTCTTCAATTTCTTCTTTAAAAAAAAAGAAAATAATTTCTTCTTTTTGTTTTTCTTAAAAATTTCTTCTTCTTCTTTCTTCTTGTTAAAATGATTGTTGTTTCTTCTTCTTCTTCTTGTTTTTTCTTTTTTTGTTTTAAAATTCTTCTTCTTTTTTTTTTTTCTTGTTTCTTATTCTTCTTCCTTATTTTAGTTTATCAAGGATTTTTAAATTTGAAATTTACATTGTTGAATATTCATTAGATGGTTGAAAAGATTAGGAAAAATATATGGATGATCTTTTTCATTAATTGAGTCTTGGTAAATCAAATTAAAGATTTTAATTTTTCAAGATTTTTTTTTTTTTAATAAAATGAATATTGTTTAAATTATTTCAGATAGAAATGGTTTGGGATATTGTTATGTGTACAGATTTCAATAACATGAATTAATCAATACATTTAACATTTCAATATATTTGTGGTCAGTATGTTATTTTGGGAAATAATGATTCTTTCTTGGAAAGGTGATATTATTATATACAGAGCGTAGATTTATATTTTTTTATAAAATCCGAAATCGATATCTCTCGAGATTTTCCTTTTTTAGGCATTATCAAAATTCTTATAATAGGTGCATATATAACACGCACGCACGGTTGCACAATTTTCGAATAATAAAAAATTAAAATTTTTCCAGAATATCCATATATATTAAATTTTTGTTTTAAATGCGTTTTTAGGTTCTTTTTTTTTTTTTTTTGGCCAGCATGGCAATTCATCAGAAAAAAATTCCCTTTTTAGTAATTTTATGAACTTAAAAAGTGGAAATGATTCGGGGAAAGTGAATTTATCTGTATATATATATTTTTTTTTTTTTTTAAAGGAAATATCGTTAATTTTGGTTAGTGTTTGTGTTGGTCAAACGGCCTAAAAAAAGTTTTTTTAAAATAGAACATGGCAGATTCCTGACTTTCAAAATATCCTTCCTTATATTTTGACAATTTTATTTGTTGCAGGAAATGCGATATGTATATATAATAATAATAAAGTCTTATGTGGGTGAGAAATAAAAATAGGGCTTGATTTATGGGGTTATATATTCTATGTTGTTTGTGATTAATATGAAAATGATGGGATTTTTTTCTTTGAAGTTTATTTATTTTGTCTATTTATATTTTTTTAATTGTTAGTGAATAAATCATGAATTTTTAAATATTCATTTGAAAATTTGAAGAAAAAAATGTTGTAAAACAGGTAATAATCTTTGTTTGGGCATCCGACTTGATAATATTTTGATAATTATTAATTAAAAGTAAAAGATTTTTTCCACACAAAAAAAAATATAACCATGCATACGAACGGGTAAATTATTTATGACTTATACAGTTAGTAATGATAGATCTTGAAAAAAAGATTTAGTGACTGAGCTAGTGTTTAAAAAGGTATGTTTAATGTATTTTAATTTGAATAAGATCCTTTTTTTGTTATATATTTTGGGAAAATCCTGTTTTATGCGGATGGTTATTATGGGTTAACCGTTGAAAAAAATTGTTTTTTAATATAATTTAATAAGGTCCTTATAAATAAAATATACTAAAAGGCCAAGGTTTCTCTCTAAATTTTTTTAAATGGTTTGAGATATAGAATTTTCCAGCGACTTTTGATTATAGAGGAAGATTCAATTTTTGAAAGCATGGTTACTAGAAATACGTTTGGATTTTATTTTTAATTTTATACATTAAAATGATTAAGAAAGAAATATAAAATTCCAATTGATCCGAATAAAAAAAATCAAATTAATTATCTAATTATAAAAAATTTAAGACAGCTAACCTTATCCTCAAAAAAATAACAACACACCATTAAGTCAAAATTACAAAAAACGAACATTATCTATGAGTTCAAATGCCTTTTAAGGAACTGTGTTCCTGATCATTATGGACTCATAAATAATTACATCGGTAATACAATTACATGCTTATCCAGACGTCTTAAACATTACACCTATCTGATCACAGCTCCATTAGAACCCATTTAAACACACACACAAATTTACCAGACTCCATTAGAAACATACTAGTAGAAAAACAAATATATTAACTGCATCCATTTAAAAAAAAAAAAAAAAAAAAAAAAAAATAATGGAAGCTTTAATAATAAAAAAAGAAAAAGCCAACTCTTAACAATATTAACTACGAACAAAGGCCACAATGTGCTAACCGTATTCGGAAAAAAAACATCCCTACCACACACTAAGACATACACAGAATGCACACACTCAATTAAGCTGAAAAAATCGAATCATCCTTGATAATGGCTAAAGGTATAGCCGAAAGCGCTCGGAAATATAAAACATTTGGACAGTTCTTACACACCCTTTGTCCAGAAAAAAAAAAGCTCTTGTTCAAACACAAGAAAAATTAAATAAAAAGCTTAACCGTAGTACCTTGTCTGTCGTTTTTAATGAAACATGCATAAATATATATGAATATATATATATATATATATATATATATATATATATATATATATATATATAAAACAGACTGTTTCGCTCATTAGTGTGGCTTTATTATTTCAAGCCGGGATTGAAATACAACTGATTTATTTATTAGTCGGATTTTTACAAATTTAAAAATTACATTTAACGCACGCCATGATGACGTTGAATTTGTTCGTATTTATTTTAGACAAAAGAAAGAAATCTTAAAGAACTCGAAAAGTCTTACGATGAGGAATTGCATCAGAAGATATATTAAAAATAAAATATATTTTTATTTATAATTTTTAAAAATCATCTATCAGTTGCGTCTCTATCTGGGTAAATATTTATTTACAAATATTTGGAAAGATTTTGGACAGATAATAAAAATTAAAGAAAATTATACTAATTTAAATGCCCATCCCTGGGGTGCAAAATTTCTAAGGCCGTGCCAATATAAAAATAATCAAAAGGGATATAATCTTGTGATAAAAATTAATGAAAACAAATGGGGGATAATCTTTAAATTTTTGTTTGAAGCCCGTGTCTGCTTTCATATGTTTTTTGTTTTTTTATTTGATATGATGTAAACAACCTGAACCTGAAAGTTGAAATATATATATATATATATATGTATATATATATAAATATTAATATTATTGGAAAATATGAATACGTATTTCAAAATATATAAATTTTAAAATTTAATATATTTTCATAAAAAAAAATTAAAATCCAAGAGGAAGAATTCAGGTAAAACTTTTTTATAGGACAGTTTTAAGGATATAATAAAAATGCATTAAACACTAATTATAAAATGGTGAATATTTAAATTCCATTGGAAGAAAATAAATATATATATATATATATATATATATATATATATATATATATATAATGATAAATTGATTAAATAATTTTAGATACTTAAAAAACAAAAAATCGAAAATTGTTTTTCAGTGGAAATTATATCTTATGAAAATATTTTACAAAAAATTAGAGTCGATTACAGAATATTTCAAGCTCAATTTATGTTTATATTTCGTAACGATACAATGAAATGAGGTAACATACACCATAGATTTGTCTATGGAATATCATTACATTATTGTTACATAATTATAGTGAAATCATTAAGGTATTTATATTTTGCATTTATTTTATTTTTGGTCTTGTATTATTTTAAAATATATCTATTTTTACATTTTTTTTTTTTAAATGGAATAAAATCATTCTAAATTAAAAATTGAGATGGAAGAAATCAATCGAAAAAACAACAATGGTAAAAAAGCTTGTAACAAAGCATAAACGAAATAACTGCATTTTATTCAACTTTGGAAACTTTACCATTGCAAGCCAAAATATTAAAAAAATGTTTCCAATAACAAAGGAGAAAAATGAAAACATATAACAACAAATTGAATATACAATCAAAATGAAATATTATTTTTATTTATTTGTTATGTAATAATTTTATAATTATCTTTACAATCTTTTATAAAATTGATATTTCCTGTAAAAATATATAAATTTTATAATAAACGAGGATACCTGTCTACTAGGGCAGCTAGACAATTTATTGCAGGCGCTTGCTCAAAGGCAAGATTCAATACCCGGAGAGCCCACCTGTGTCTTATACTGCAACTATTCTGAGCATTTTTTTATTTTTGGGAAAGAATTTTATCTAGCGTGAATAAAATTTGAACAAAGGCCATCATGCACTATCTAATATTATCGGTTAAACGAAGACTATAAACATTTGTTTATCTTTAAAAAACTATCGAAGCATGTTAAATTTATATATTAATAATTTATATTTATCCTGTCATATACATATATATCATCTAATTATTTGTTTTAACGTGGAGAGCGCCATACTAAAGACGTATATAATAAATAAAGGACAACTATTTTTTTCCAATTTCGTACGGCTATGAACGATACTCACCCCCAATGTCATTCTCCCATGTGAATGAGAAAAATGAAAACATTGGATATGGAATCCCCCATTTTAAATGTTCATTTTCCCATATAAAATGAGCAAAACGTTTGAAATTCAGCTGAAAAGAAAAGTTAACACATGAAATAATAAAGAATATTTTCTTAAATAAATATTCTAGGGTTTAAAAAGTTTTCAAAAACCATTTTTTTTTAAAATATAGGTTTATTCATTTTTTTTTATTTATTTTTTGTTTAAATAATTATTATTATTTTTAATTAATGCTTAAATAGCACAAAGGACACAAAATACATATAACATTTTTATATATATATATATATATATATATATATATATATATATATATATATATATATATTATTATTATTATTATTTTATAAACCTAATGATTAGACAAACCTACCCAGGTTTCATCTAAACGGATCGTGTTGGAATGTTGGCTCTACGGTTGTATTGAGCTCTTTTGTTAGTTAAATGTTTGGGGTTTTTTTATTTTTTTTGGCATTCAGATTTTATAACATGTTTTTTTTCCTATTTTTGTCGAATACTTTATATTTTTATTTTTTTTTTTTTTTTTTTTTAAAAAAATATATTTATATTTTTCCCTCGAGATGGATTTGATTAATAATGAGTCCC